AAAGGTGAAGTCAACTAAACAGGAATTTAATATTTCCGAGCTTGCGTTTTCATACCTTTGCTATTGCCCGCATTCTGCCCATAGTCTTGGAAAATCGTGATGTATCCATTTGTGCTGGTCCAGTTCGCCAAGAGGCCTCTGTACAGCTTGATGTTGTCTTTGGTCAGACTAAACATAAGAGTCGATTCTTTGCAAGCAGTCTTACACAAATTTCGTGACGCTTCCGTCAGTGATAGTGACAGTAAAGTTATAGCCATCTGGGACGATAAAGTTGTCGATGATGATCCACTAAACGATTAACGTTTGGCGTGGTACGACAGAGTACATATACATATTTAATAAGCGCTAATTTTGCGTCTCTACTGCTGAGAACTTTAGCCAAGTATATAAAAGTGTCAATAGGCTGTTTTTCAGTAGGCCGTATTTTTTTTTGTATTTTCAGGGGTCGATCTTTCCAATTCTTACCCCAACGCCATAACCCTGAACGCTCGGGTTAATGATACTGTAGCAGACACCACCATCGGGATAACACGGCGCAAAATGGTCGTACATCTGCGTCGGATCCTCAGCCGCCGTGATACTATACGTCGGCTTGTACGCGGTGAAGTTTCCCGAGCATGCGCAATTCGCCGAGGCAGAACTCACTAAACAGCAAGAATTGTTTTTGATTCGAATGATTTCAGTTTTGCCCAAGTGACCACGGCTGACAAGTTCTTACAATCCCATTTTTCGACGCTACGCGCTGTTTACCATAAAATTCACATAAGGAGGTGGCGATCAAATTGGGTAATTTGGGCTTATCAGGAGCCGCGGTATGATTGCGTGTGTTGGATCCTTGGGTAGTGGAATCTGCATTTTTACCTGAGAAGCGAGCGCCGATCTCTCCGGACTCTTTTTAAGTTCTACAGAATTTTGCGATTGGGGTTCTCGAGGACGTTAAGCCGGATGGATCAAAAGTTCAGAAGGGGAAAACAGCTTTTTCTCAAAAACGTTGCATTTTAATTTTTTGCAACGAGGATAAAAATCGTTCGGTTGGCCCGGGAAAATCGACTTGCCCGTGGCTAATTTTCTACTGCTGCGCAAAAATTCACAATTGATATAATGAAAAAGAGTTTTAAGAACTAGAGCGTCTCGAGTCCAGAATTCAGGGGTGAAAAGCCTGATGACATCAACTAACAAAATAACTTAAGATTTATAAACTTTTAGAGCTTTACCAAACAAAAACTTACACCCAAAAGCCGCAAAAATCACCGCAAGTTCAATCCACATCCTTTAAATTGTAATAGCTAGGAAACAACCACAAAAATTCTCAAAGATGAAGCCGCTTTATAAGAATGGCCGGCCCAGAAAAATCGTCACTATCACACCCCGCCGTCCCGCAGAAAAATCATTCCGTACAGATTGCTGCTGGCTGTGTCTCGTTTGGCCTGTGCGAATTTTGCGAACTTTGATGGAGCGGGATGTGTGGATTGTGTTTATTTTAGTGTTCAGACTTGAGCCTTTATTGACACCTACAGCCGTAGTAATACTTATATGGTTGTTTATCCATACTGAGCAAAGCCCACCGCCACCATAGAATGAGCCATAGTCGTAGTAGTCGACAGAACGGTAACAGAAACTGCTGCACGAATTGCAGCCTGAAATAAGATAGCGTGAAATGCTGAGTACACGAATACTTTGAATAGTTCAATTAACAAATTACAATATCCATGCCTCCTCTGAACATACACCCAGGCCGACAAGCAGACCTAAAACAAGAGCAACAACGATTTTTGGCCCCTAGCCAAGCACAATTTACCCCAGGTCGAGGTTCCTAAATAAAACCTAGAGAAAATTAACTACAAAAAAACCACGATGTTTATGCCTTCTATGTACAAAAGTATCAGTAAGGTCATAATATCGTATCCTCGCATGTGAGAAAATAAAGCAACTTACAGAATTATTACAAGGCCCAAATCCGCAGGGTCCTGAGTAACTGCATTGCTTGCCTAAAAATGTCGAAGGCTTTTACGGTTATGTTACATTACAGGACCGTAAGGTCAAATGTTACTGCTCTCAGTGTATCTAGGTTTTTAAGCCCCTAAGTTAGGATTACATTATTCGCTCGGTAACCTACAACAAGATCCGCAAAGCATTTCCGGGGCACGAGGAGCATCCGGAGCACATCCTGACATTTCGCCCGGGTTGAGACGTCGAGATTCCTATTCGATTTCTATAAATGAGTGGGTACTTTGCTTTGAAAATGCCAATTTTGCTCATGATTGCACATGATACACCTGTAACAACATGTAATCTTTGAAAACTTTTTCTGAAAGACCACTTTAGTCTAGAAATTTGGAAATACGGATTGTTTTGTTCAAAATTTCACCCTCAATCAAGGACGTCATTTTGCAAAACCGAGATTGCCTAAGAGCCACTCTTTCTCAGACAGTTCAATTTTCAACGATTACCCGTATCTGGTCCAAAAATTCCGGCGGCGAAGTCGAGCGTCTCCACATCGAAACTTTCAGAAGTGACATTTTTGGCGCAGTAGCCAGCTATTGGCGGCCAAAACAACGCAAAGAATCGTGGGACAGGTGGCATTTAAAATGGCAAATCGTTCCACCGGCGAAAACTTCCAGCGGATGCGGAAAAGTCCTTGGTCTTTTAAACGGCGTCCGGTCATCCGATCCTCTCGTCGCCAGTGGAAGACTCGGCGGACACGGCAAAGGGATTGAAATCGAGAGTGGGATAAACAAACGGTACGGAGACCATGCCTGCGGGTTGCGTGCAGGATACAGGAAGTCTGGGAAAAAGCCGTACTTTTTGGAATTGTGGGGATTTTCGGCAAACTACCGTAAGCTTTTTTAATCATAGGTCCTTGCGCATTATCGGGAGGAGGGTTGCAAAATGGAAACCAACTGTTTCGCGTCAGTATCCAATTTTCTAACATAAATGTTGGCAATGTTTCTAAACTGTTTTTAATTGAATCTTGCTAATACGCAAAAATGCCTCAATTTTGTAGCCCTAATGTCCTAACAATATCGATTTTTCTCCCAAAATTTCAATGCTTAATTCTTTTCCACTCGGAATATACATACATACGCTTTTCTATAAATATTATTGAAATACTTACTTTTACGTTACCAAACGTTACTAGATTATGAAAAAAATAGGTTCTTGAAAATATCCTACTATATATAAAAAAAATAGTGTTTGTGTGTGTGTGTGTGTGTGCCACTTTGCATGCAACTTCCGTCAGGGTGTCCGGAGGATATCTCGATAAGGGATGGGTTTGAGGAGGTGTTTGATACGTCATTAGATGCGTAATGGGCTGGAGATGACTGCACACATATCGGATTTTGTAAAAAAATGTTGTTTTCGACATTACATTTAAGTTTTTCGTAAAAATTCGGCCACCCAATTTGTTAGGATAAAATTAACATACACCGGAAGCTGCAGTAGCCTATATATTAAAAGCCCGAAGGTAGCGTTTTTCATTCTTTTGTCATCGGAATTGGGGCACAATTATGTAAAACGAAGAACATCATAGGGTTAGACGGGGCCAGGGTTGAAAAGTCGCGAAGCGGCTTTTCAACCCTGGTGAACTACTAGAAAAGTTAGCTATGCTTGCTATCATGTGAGCCTAAGAAAATTAAATTTTTTCATTTTTTGGAACTGCAAGTTTTCTGTATTCTCCTTTCGATTTCCTATTCCCGTATTACTGTGTTTTCTGAAAAATAGCATTCTCAAAAAATTATCAAAAAACGATCACAACGCTTTGAAAATCACGCTAAACGTTATGGCACCTGAGCAGATCACACAACTAGCAAGCAAAGACATTTTTTGGGCATTTTTGTTGAGACATATTTTATGGGTGACTAGAACGGGGCCGAGGAGAAATAGTAAGTATCGTACTCTAGAAGCGCAAAAATACCGGTAGCCAATATGAGGTGTTCAAGAGGGGGATAAGGACGACTAAACGGACGGCAAACAAACAATTTAAATCACAAAAATTCGCTCAAAAATTCGGCAATATCCGTGCCCATCTCGCGACGTAATTGTGAGGCGGGCATGTTGAAAACTCCGTGATACCTTAAAAAAATGTAATAAAAGTAATCTTTTACTAAATTTTTTATGCATTAAATTAATTATATGTTCTATTTTTAACTAATGAATCCGTTTTATCAATTAATATATATAAAACTTACATAGGCATCAAAAC